TACAACGCATACACACACGCACGCACACACACACATACACGTACAGACACGCACACATACACAGACACGCACAGACACGCACACATACACACACACGCACACATACACACACACGCACACATACACGTACAGACACACACACATACACACACACACATGTACATATACGAGTGTTCGTATGTGGCCCCTTCACAGCTACGCATATGGGACCACGATGCACAGTAGGTGCCATAAGCACATATAGTAAAAGTCGCAAACAGTGCACACTTCAACACTCCACTGACATGATGTAGTCCGTTCGCGCGCTCATATAGGGAACGGCAGCACCGACAGATTGCCAAGAAGATTCGAATGGCATATACACCACACAGAGTGTTCGTTTCCCTGGCGAACCATGGTCTAGAGGAAGTGCAAACAATACCAACCCTGATACAAACAGCACAGTTGCATGAGACGTACCCTCGGCCATACAGTGAATAGTCGGTGGATTTCGCACTGGCTAAGCTAGATACACACCGCAGCTTACCATCAATCATGTAGTGCCTCTAAAACCCTGAACCCCTTACCATCAATCATGTAGTGCCTCTAAAACCCTAAACCCCTTACCATCAATAATGTAGTGCTTTGTGGACGTGTTGTTTCGATCGCGCATGTCCCGAATCTCAAACACCTCAAAGGCTCCGATGAATGGGATACCGTCCTCCACCGAATTCAACAGCCGTTTGCAGTACGCCGGAGTGACGGAGGGGGCGGGCACGTGCGGCGGTGCCAGCAAGTACGTGTCAGGGAAACTCCGGCAGAACTCGCGCAGAGTTGTTTTCTGTATTGTGGGTGCGAGTTTAGAGTGTCAGGGTTTCAGGATGTCAGGGTTTTAGGGTGTCTGGATTTTTGGGTGTCAAGGTTTTAGTGTTGTGCGAGTAAGTAGGTATCTGGGGATCTCCAGCGAAACTCGCGCATCGTTAATTTCTGCATTGCGGTTGGGTTTTTAGGGTTGGTTAATATGATGTTTAGGTTTTCAAGGGTTCTGTCAGCAAGTACAGGGCTGGGTACCGCCGCCAACACTTGCGCAGAGTTGTAGTCTAACCAACGAGCAGTTGCATAGCAGAATTCATCGTGAGCGGTTGTGGAAGATACTTACCACCGACATCACTTGCTTGCCCTCTATATCATCAGCCACCAACTGTCGCATGCCGCCCTTCACCGGATATCTCATGAGGAGCGGTGCCGATACCTGCACTTGTTTTTCCGGTAGTTTCTTCGTGAGATAGTCTGATATCTTCGCTTGCATCTTAGTTTGTCCTTGCTTTGCTGACAGCCCGTGCCATCTACACTCGGCTGCCGGGCGTTGTCGGTAGTCTATCGTATTGTCGTACACTTTCCGCAGGAGAGTTTTGCACCTATGAAGACCAGAGATTTACTGATTGCACACCATTGAGCTTGTCCCAAACGTTGTAGTGAAGGTTTTGGTTTCGCCAGTAGTATATTGGTTCAAGTTCACACAATACACACAGCCACCCAATACATCATTTTCAAATACCAGAAGTAGCGGCAATCGCTCTGGCTGTAATTACAGGGCTGCAGCTTACACTCAGACACGTACACCTTGTTTGTGTACGTATATGCATACACCCTTATTTTTCGCACTCAATTTGAACTTCCCAGGAGTTTCCATTCACAGACCCCCTCATTTATGTCTTCGTTTCGAATGGGGCAAAGGTACACTTTCATTTAAATAACTGTCCACGGGCACACATCCCTATCTTTGCAGTCCATATCCCGCAAAAGTGCGCCCTCTCTCATTCATACAGCTACCCATACATCCACAAACTTACACACAGCACACACACCCATACATCCACAAAGCTACACACAGCACACGCACCCATCATTCATACAGCAACCCATACATCCACAAACTTACACACAGCACACGCACCCATCATTCATACAGCCACCCATACACCCACAAACTTACACACAGCACACGCACCCATCATTTATACAGCCACCCATACATCCACAAACTTACACGCAGCAC